AACCACTCTCTGGCAAAATTATCGAGGGTGGGTTGTTAAGAAATGTGAGGTCAACAAGGAGGAACTTGCGATATGTACTGAAGAAGGGAGGTGTCAGGAAGCGAGTCGATTGTAAGTTCGTCTAAAAATGACACATGAAATACATTATCAGCCCTCAGTAGACTTCTTGATCCAGGCTTCTTAGTACGCAGAATTTTGGACATCTGCCAAGACAAGTTTTTTTGAACGACAAACCGACGCAGTAGCTTATAATAAACGAAGTATTTTTTTCCAGGGAAGCCAGTCCCTCGACGAAAAGCTCCACCGGAAAGTCTTATATCGTACTATACGGATGCACGAAATCGTGGTTATCTCGCCGATCCTGAAGATCTCAGCAAAGCTGAACAAGATTTGGGACAACTTTTTGGATACGAACGGAAACCTGCGCACGAGAAATGGGAAGAAAAAAGGCCCGATCAGTTGTTTGTTGGAATCCCATCCGGTTCAATAGTGAGCCTGAAGGACAAAAAATGCTTTGCCCCAACACATCCTGTACTTCGGCACTACTACGGAATCGATGATGAAACGGGCGAAAACTTTATTGCCGATCATCCATATGCAACCACTTTCTCGCCTTCCCTGCGAAAAAGCGATTTCAAATACTCGTAATTTTTCTTAATTAAAAAAAAAAAGGCGCGAAAAAACACGATATTTGCAGCTCGTAGGCTTTCAACAAATTTAACAATTTTACAAAAAATACAGCGCTCCGATGCGGGAAACCCACTTTTTTTGTTTATTGGAATGCTTCCAAATGTCAGGGGAAGCCATGCCAGGCTTTCCATTCCGATCTGTATAGCTTAAAATCGTAATTTTTCCCAATAAAAAATAAGTAAAAACAAAACATGATGTGTAGCTTGCAGGCTTTCAACAAATTTAATAAATTTTGCAAAAAATATTAGGTTTTTATGCGGGAAACCCATTTTTTTGTCATAGGTGTGCCATGGACGAATCCGGGCGGTCTCCCGAGATAGCGCGGGGGGGGGGGGGGGGGG